AGAGAGGAAAGGGGAGAAGAGAGAGAGACAGAGACAGACAGAGAGAGGACGTTAATGTGAGAGAGAAACATCTATCGGTTGCCTCTACACAGGGATTGAACCCGCAACCTGGGTATGTGCCCCAACTGGGAATTGAACCTGTACACCAAGCGGTGGTTCCACCCAACTGAACCACACTGGCCATCATACTCAATGGGCAAAAACTAAAACCATTTCCCCTAAGAACAGGAACAAGATAGGGATGTCTGATTTCACCACTATTATTCAATATAATACAGGAAGTACTAGCCTCAGAGATCAGACAAGAAGAAAAAAATAAAAGGCATCCAGATTGGAAAGGAGGAAGTAAAACTGTCATTATTCACAGATGGCAAGATATTGTACACAGAAAACCCTAAAGACTCCACCAAAAAACTACTAGATTTAACAAATAAATTTGGCAATGTAGCAGGATACAAACTTAACACTCAGAAATCGATGGCTTTTTTATACACCAATAATAAACTCTCAGAAAGAGAAACTAAAAAAAATCCCATTTACCACAACAAAAAATTAACATACTTAGAAATAAACTTAACCAAGAAGGTAAAAGACCTGTACTCGGGAAACTACAGGACATTGAAAAAAGATATAGAAGATATAAACAAGTGGAAGAAAATCCCATGTTCATGGATTGATAGAATCAATATCATTAAAATGTCCATGCTACCCAACGCAATCTATAGATTCAATGCAATCTCTATTAAAATACCAATGGCATATTTCACAGATATAGAACAAACACTCCAAAAATGTATATGGAACCAAAAGACTGGATAACCACAGCAATCTTGAGAAAGAAGAACGAAGTTGGAGGAATCACAATACCAGATATCAAGTTATACTACAAAGCCACTGTCCTCAAAACAGCCTAGTACTGGCACAAGAACAGGCATATAGATCAGTGGAACAGAACAGAGACCCCAGAAATTGACCCAAGCCATTATGCTCAATTAATATTTGACAAAGGAGGCAAGAGCATACAATGCTGTAAAGGCAGTCTCTTTAATAAGTGGTGTTGGGAAAACTGGACAGGTACATGCAAAAAAATTAAACTAGACCACCAACTTACACCATAGACAAGAATAAGCTCAAAATGAATAAAAGACCTAAATGTAAGTCATCCTATATAATAAAAGGCTAATATGCAAATTGTCCCCTTAACCAGGAGCTCACCCAGGAGTTCGACCTGTGACCCCCTCCCCCAGGCCGGCCCAGCCCAATAGGCCCTGATTGGGGTGGGCCGGCCAGACCCTACCCATGCATGAGTTCGTGCACTGAGCCTCTAGTGAAACCATAAAAATCTTAGAAGGAACCATAGGCAGCAAAACCTCAGACATCTCTCACAGCAATATGCTTATTGACAAATCTCCTAAGGCAAAGGAAACTAAGAAGAAAATAAACAAATGGAACTACATAAAAATCAAAAGTTTCTGCACAGCAAAACAAACCATCAACAAAGTGAAAAGAGATCCTACTGTGCGGGAGAACATTTTTGCCAATGACAAATCTGATAAGGAGTTAATTTCCAAAATACATAAGGAATTCACACAACTTAATAAAAAGACAAACAATCCAATTTAAAAAATGGGCAAACGACCTAGACACTTCTCCAAAGTATACATACAGAAGGCCAAGAGACATATGAAAAAATGCTCAAAGTCATTAATCATCTGAGAGATGAAAATTAAAATGATGAGGTATCACCCCACACCTGTCAGAAGAGCTATCATCAACAAATCAACAAATGACAAGTGTTGGCGAGAATGTGGAGAAAAGGGAACCCTAGTACATTGCTGGTGGGAATGCAGTCTGGTGCAGCCACTGTGGAAAACAGTATAGAGTTCCCTCAAAAAATTAAAAATGGAACTGCCAGCCCTAGCCAGTTTGGCTCAATGGATAGAGTGTCAGTCTGCTAATTGAAGGGTCCTGGGTTCAATTCCAGTCAAGGACACATGCCCGGGTTACAGGCTCGATCCCCAGTAGGGGGTGCAGGAGGCAGTCAATGATTCTCTCCTGTCATTGATGCTTCTACCTCTCTCTACCCCTCTTCCTTCCTCTCTGAAATCAATAAAAATATATATTTTTTAAAATATTACTCTCATTTGAACCAGTAATCCCACTTCTAGTAATAGATCCTAAGAAACCTGAAACACCAATTAGAAAGAATATATGCACCCCTATGTTCATAACAGCATTATCTATAACAGTCAAGATCTGGAAAGAGCCCAAGTGCCCATCAGCAGATGAGTGGAGAAAAAAACTGTGGTACATTTACACAGTGGAATATTACACGGCAAGGAACTCTTACCATTTGCAACAGCATGGATGAATCTGGAGAGTATTATGCTAAGTGAAATAAGTCAGTCAGAGAAAGCCAAGTATCATATGATCTCACTCATATGTGGAATCTAATGAACAAAATAAACTGATGAACAAAATAGATCCAGAGACATAGAACCATAAACAAACTGATGAATTTCAGAGGGAAAGTAGGAGGGGGTAGGGGGGAAACTAACCAAGGAACTTATATGCATACTAGAGGCCCGGTACATGAAAATTCATGCACTGGAGGGGGTTCCCTCAGCCCAGCCTGCCCCCTCTCACAGTCTGGGAGCCCTGAGGGGCGGGAGGAACCCGGTGATCAGGGAAGGTGACGCTCCCATCACACCTCTACTGCTGCCACTGCCGGCAGCGCAAGCCTTGGGCGGCCCTGGATGGCTGTGCAAATGCCGTCCGAAGCTTGCCTGCACCTCGGGCTGGCCCTGGGTGGTTGGGGGGCTGAGGGGACTGGGGAACTCCAGGGCTTAGGGGACTGGGCGTGGCCATCTTTGAGGGTGTGGCAGTCAATAAGCATTTTCCTCCTTATTGGCTGTGGGCGCCATCATCTTTGAGGATGGGACAGTCAATTAGCATATTCCCTCTTTATTAGATAGTATATGCTTAGCCCATGGACACAGACAGTAGTGTGGCAAAGGCAAATGAGGGGAGGAGGGGGTCAATGGGGAGGAAAAATAGCAGATATCTGTAATACTTTCAACAGTAAAGATTAAAAAAAAAAAAAAAAAAAAGAGTATCCCTTACAGCTAGATAAGGAAGAAGAGTAGAAAGGAATTGGGAAAGAGCATTCTGTAACAGTCACCCCCTTGGAGGTCTGCATATATGTTAGCATATTAGAAGCTCTGGGGGTGGAGGGAGAAAGGGTCCTATATATGGTGACAGGAGAAGATTTGACTTTGGGTAGTGAGCACGTGGTACAATATATAGATCTTATAACATAGAAACCTATATGATCTTGTCTACCAATGTCACCCCAATAAATTTAATTTAAAAAAAAAAGAAAAGCTCTGCAAGTCCCCATTACCTTGGGTTAAATCCTAAATATATTTGATTATCTTATTCTTTTATCAATAAACACGTATTAATTCTCTTTGGGAAATGAAAGCTAAGGAGATAGACATTCCTTGGAGAGGACAGTTTAATCCAATTATATGTGTTCTGTGGGTTACTCACACATGGGGCTCAGTTAAATGTTTGCTGAATGACTTGGTAGCAGAAGAGGTGTGATTTGGCAATAGCAGACATTAGAGTGTCCACTGTAGCTGTTCTCATTATGGCCATACATAAGTTGAATTCTTTAATTAAGGAGTACTAAATATTTTGCATCAAAATATAAACTTTTCTATTTTACAATTACAAATGGAAATTTCTAAAACTGTGGCCCTACACAAATTCAAATATCAAAACTCAATTTCCTGAGGAGACCAACAAAACCCAGTAAAACTAATATTGCAATTGCAACACCAGTGAAAGTAAGTAAAAATATAATATACATGCACATGCACACCAGCATCACCACCACCACCACCAATCCCCGTATACACTGAGTAAAATGTCAGAGACTGATGACTCAGGGTACCACCAGATCAGAGTATGTTCAGAGAAATGAAAGAAGAAATTTGCCAATTGGGTCCACTACCCATATTAAACTAAGACAGTGGAACTGCACTCTTTTGGTTCCTATTCATTTAGTTTTATGATTCAGCTATATAATTTCATGGTCATATGTAGAGAGTTACTAGCTACAGCCAGAAAGCTTCAGAATTCTAAACATATAGACAATCTACATTTATTCAGAGAACTTCTAGTTTCAAACACTGAGACATGAAATTTTATAACGGTGACAGGTATTATTAGCTGCTTTCAGAGCTCTAATTTTGTTTGAGGCAACAATGCATGCACAACTGGAAGGGATAAATTATAATTGATCAATTATGGATCTCCTTCTTACCTCTGCCAGGTAAGTAACTTCCTCGGCTTCTTTGTAGCTAAGTATGTAACATAGCCATGTGGCCATTGAGACAAAAGGGAGAAATCTGCTGGGAGGATTCTATAAAAAACTATTCTTTCAACATGAAAACAGAGCCACACAGGAAAGCATTTGCCCCACCTCCTCCTTTTTATCTAGAACATTGGTGTGAGGTAAATAATGCCTGGGGCTGCAGCTGGCACACTTTGACTATGAGGCAAAGAGCATAAGCAAAGAAGCCAACATGTTAAGGATAATAGCATGTGAGGACAGTAAGAACCTGGATTCCTGATAACATCACTGAGTCTAGAGAACAAAGTCTGGACCTACCTGTCTCCAGACTTCTTATTAACAATAACTATCTTTATGGTTTAAGCTCCTACTGATTGGGTATAGAGTCACTGCATACTGTTTCCTAAATGACACAGTCATGACCTATATAGTCATACTGTGATGAAGAATATAGATTAATTATTAACATTTCAGATTTTAAAATTTTATAAAATAGGAGATATGAGACTTTTAACTTTACTGCATATAATGCTGTATTTAAATTGCTTCTACAAGCACAACATACTTTGTAACATTTAATGATAGAATAAAAATAAAGTTAAAAAGACAAATAATAGGAAAAATCGATCCATACCCGTACCTTTCCGTGTGTTCTCTGTCACATCTACTCCAAACTGGATAATGTCACCAGAAAGAATTTCACATGGTGGACTTTCTTCAGAGCCTCGACTCAATCTCTGGCTATTTATAAAGGTACCATTACTACTTTTAGTGTCTTGGAGATAAAACTGCAAAAATAAAATTGAAAAGTCAAAGATTAATAGTAATAATTCTAAATCTACATTTTAAAAAGTACTTCCAACTTTGCAAACTAGTGCAGGTGAATTTTCCCCCCACTATCAATTCAAATCACTTGTTTCAGCCAAGGTTCTCCTTTGATATATATAAAATTAGAACACTAAAATCAGTGATTTAAAATCGAGCTAAACAAAATAGTACAATCATTTTGGAAAAAAGGATATATGGTCCTCAAAATGTTAAACATAAAGTTAGCATATGAGCCAAAAATTCCACTCCAAGGTATATATTTAAGAAAACTGAAAACATATGTCCTCACAAAAACTCATACACAACGTTCATAGCAGCGTTTATTCATAATAGCCAAAAAGTAGAAACAACCCAAATGTCCAACTAATGAATGGGTAAACAAAATAATGGTCTATCCATCTGATGTTATATTACTTGGCAATAAAAAGGAATGAAGTATTGATTCATGCCACAACATGGATGAACCTTTAAGACCAGGGGTCCTCAAACTACGGCCCACGGGCCACATGCAAATACAAATATTGCATTTGTTCCCGTTTTGTTTTTTTACTTCAAAATAAGATATGTGCAGTGTGCATAGGAATTTGTTCATAGTTTTTTTTTTAAACTATAGTCCGGCCCTCCAACTGTCTGAGGGACAGTGAACTGGCCCCCCTTTTAAAAAGTTTGAGGACCCCTGCTTTAAGACATTATATTAAGTAAAAGACCATATATTATGTTATTATCCTATATAATAAAAGCATACTATGCAAATCGACTGAACGGCCAAACAGCAGGATGACCATCCAGATGACCATCCCAGACCACACTATGACACCCACTGGCGCCAGGCCAGCCAAGGCGGGTGTGATGCGATTGGTTGGGGGCCTGGCCATCGCCCCATGATCACCCCACAGAGGGAGGCCCAGACCACTGGCTGGTGGGGCAATCAATTGGGGGGCTCCATGATGGCCCCAAAGAGGGAGGCCCAGGCCATCAACCAGCAGGCTGCAGCGGGTGGGTGGGGCCTCCCTCTGCAAGGGAAGCCCAGGTCCTGGGTGCCAGAGAAAAGCCGGTGCCGGCAGCCGGGGGAAGGAAGACCTACTCTTGCATGATTTTTGTGCATCGGGCCTCTAGTGTTTATATAAAATACCCAGAATAAGCAAATCCATACAAACAAAATTACATTAGTAATCCCCAAGGGGCTGAGGTGCCAGACCATGGGGTGAGGTAGGGTGAGAATGACTACTAATGGGTATAAGGTTTCTTTTTGGAGTGATTAAAATGTTCTAAAATTAGTGGTGATGGTTGTATAACTGTGAATATATTAAAAACCTCTAAATTGTACACTTTAAGAGGATGAATTTTATGGTAAATAAATTACATCTTGATAAACCTGTTTTGTTTTGTTTTTAAAGCCAGCTAGATAAAATTCTATCTTTCCATCTCACTCTGACTTTGTAATTTTTCTAGGTTGTCTGGGTTAAGTCAAAGAAAGTGTTGTTCATTCCACAGGCAGGACAAATGGTTTTTGGTAACACTTATAACTAATACAAGTAGCTATCAGTTAGCTAGCATACTTGATATCAGGACCAATATATCCTCAGTAAAATTTTTTGTTAAGCAGACTGGAGACACTAGAAACTAAAATAATGGAATCAACTATGAAGATACTACTTCCTGGTCTCCTAAAGCTGCCTTTCATCACTTAGATTACATAATATTCCATCTTTAAAAGGGAAGGGATAGGAGGAAGCACAGGAAGCCCACCTGTTTTTCACTTACTTATCCCAAAATAGATTAGGAACAACTGGGACCACACATAATAGACTTACCAGAAAGAGAATAACCAATAAGAAAAGATGTACCTTTCTTTTTGAAATTTTCTACACTCTCCAGCCCTGAATATTCTAGCAACATATTTTCACTGAATTCCTTCCTAAGAAAGAAAGGGAAAAAAAACAAAAACCTAATGTTTATTAAAATGTGTATTACACCACCAGGCTCTCATTAACCTTAACATTAAAGCTGTGATATAGATATTACTACCTTTTATACATGAGAAAAGTGAGGCCCAGGCAACTATTTTTCCAAAGGTCACAGAGCTATGGAACACAGAAGCAAGGATTCAAATAAGAGAACTGAAAGAACTATCGTTCCCATTACTTCAACTGGCCTTTATGTTTCATTTGTGCTTCACTCCTCCCACAGGCTCTCTTCCAAAGTGAAACACAACAAAAGAATAAGCAATTTGCAGAAAATATGAAAATGACAATTCTTTTCATTAATTCTTAGGTGACAATATAAAGGCCATCAGGCTGCCTGTAATATGATTTACTCTGTTTATAATTCCTTTTTAAATATATATATATATATTTTTTAAATTATTTCAGTGAGGGAGGGAGATGAAGAGATAGAAACATCAATGAGAGAGAATCATCAATAGGCTGCTTCCTGCACATGCCTAACTAGGAATCGAGCCCGCTACCCGGGCATGTACCCTGAAAGGGAATCGAACCAGTAACCTCTCGGTTCACAGATTGATGCTAACCACTTAGTGACACTGTCCAGGCTCTGTTTATAATTCAAAAGAGACCAAACCAACTGTTACTTTAGCTAGCAGTTTGTATATTTAATTACAGACCATAGTAAAGAAAACTGTATTAATATTTTACAAATCCATTTGAAACTTAGAGTCCTTAACATTTCATACCAGGGAGAATAGCACAGACAACACACTCAAGTAAGAACATTTATCCTCAACATTTTTTCTATACTAGAACTAACTTAATGTTACACTGTATAAGGGAGTTTGTTTTTTTGTTTTTAAATAAATATACTCTTGGGAAATGTGATGATATCTGGATTCTAGTTTGGTCATTTCCAGTAATGTGTGCTATGGTAACCCAAGTAAAGGGATTATACTAGAATTATAATGGTTTTCAAACTTCAAGTTCTGATCCATTAATGTTACTAAGTTAATTTAATGGGATGCAACTAGTATTTCATTTTAAACATTAAAGAGAACAGAAGATAAATAAGAATATCAGCTAAATAGTACTGAAATGAGATTCAGTACTATTTAGCAAACTTTGGTAAAAAAAAAGTGTGTGTGTACTCCTCATGTATGTAACGCTTATATAAATCTAAAACCATAAAATTGCAAATAAAAAAATCAGTATTAACCCAGGTTGTTTTATGCTGACATAGCTATATTACTGCTCAAAGCAGCACCCACTTAGCTTGAACATAGTTTACATTAGTTGCTCATTCTTTCCTTGCTTTCAGTCTAATGGCTTCCACACACCTCAGAATAAAGTCCAAAGTTCTTACCATTATAACCTGAAAAGCCCTACGAAATCTGGTTCCTGGTTCCTTCTCCAAACTCATTCACTTCCACCATTCTATTTCCTCATACCTCCCAGCCACACTAACCTACACATATGCCCCTGAGTCTCTGCGTTTGTGGAGATCATTTGTTTTACTTCCCTGAAGAAATATTTTTGTTGATATGATTTAACTTTCTGCTTTTGGCTGCTTTGAAAGATTGATATAAAAAATATTTCTGCACCACCTATGAAACAATCTGCCATTATTCAGTCTACATTGAACAGAAGCTATTTAAAATTAGGTTAGGGACCTCAAAATAGGAGTGGGGCAGATTTTTTTAAGGAGAAACTAAGATGGCGGCATAGGTAAACACCGGGAAATTGCCGCCTCACACAACAATTGAAAATTACCGCAAAGGACAGAGCAAACATCATCCAGAACAACAGGAAGGCTGGCTGAGTGTAAATTCTACAACTAGAAGGAAAGAAAAGCACGCTGAGAGCCAGAGGAGCTGCAGAGGTGAAGTGCAGAGGTACGGCGGCTCGTGCGCGCGCGAGTAAAGGGGGCGGCACCTGAGGACTCGGCTGTCTTTTTGAATCACAAGCTCCCGACTGCTCTGAACTCCGGTTCCGGGAATTCTCTGGGGACCCAGGACTCATACGGGGAGAAGCTGGTCTGTCCGGCAGCGGGCGAACTTGAAGGCGGCTTTCCCTCAGAGGTGCTTGCAGCAATTAGCGGGTCACTGAGACCCGCAACTCCGGGCGGAGAATCAGCCATAGCTCCTTGATCCGCCCTTTGATTCCCTGAGACCCTGCCCCACCCAGGCTGCGGCAGAGGCTTTTACATGTGAATGCACCTAAATGCAGCCGAGCCAGGCAGACCCGGAACTTCCAAGAGAAGGCCCAAGGCCCCGCAGCGGCTTGCATTGCTTCACAGCTGAGCCTCTTCGTGGCTCCTGCTGTGTGGCCTCAGGCAGAGGCTGAATTAGCACCTCCTTAGATCCAGGAGCCACTGTGCCCAGTGGTCAGAGGGGGACCATCCAGATTGCAACTCCTCAGATCCATAAGGGACACACTCAGGGAGCAGACTCAGTGAGCACCAAAGCCCCACTGAAGCAAGTCTTGCCCCAGAAGGGTGTCTTCAGCACAGAAGTTCTCCCACTTTAGACACAGCTGATTCTCACAGCCAATTGGCCTGGAGGTCAATTCCTCCCAGTGATCCTACAACAACCAAGGCACCAAGAGTGCACCAAGAGTGTCCACCCCAGGTAACTGGGGAGGCTGAGCTACTGTGCCCTACAGGACACCTGGCGCGCAGGGCCACTCTATCAACACAGGGAAGCTGCCAAAATGCGGAGACAAAGAAACAGGTCACAAATGGCAGAAATGGAGGAAAGCAAACGATTGGATATAGAGTTCAAGGCCACGTTTATAAGGTTTTTCAAGAATTTTATGGAAACCGCCGATAAATTTAATGAATCCCTCAATAAGTATAGTGAGACCATGGAGGACATGAAAAAGGACCAACTAGAAATTAAGCATACACTGACTGAAATAAAGAATAATTTACAGAGATCCAGCAGCAGACAAGAGGATCCCAAGAATCAAGTCAAAGATTTGAAATACAAAGAAACAAAAAATACCCAACCGAAAAAGAAAAAAGAAAAGAGATTCCAAAAATATGAAGATAGTGTAAGGAACCTCTGGGACAACTTCAAGCGTACCAACATCAGAATTATAGGGGTACCAGAAGGAGAGAGAGGGCAAGATATTGAAAACCTTTTTGAAGAAATAATGACAGAAAACTTCCCCTACCTGGTGAAAGAAATGGACTTACAAGTCCAGGAAGCGCAGAGAACCCCAAACAAAAGGAATCCAAAGAGGACCACACCAAGACACATCATAATTAAAATGCCAAGAGCAAAAGATAAAGAGAGAATCTTAAAAGCAGCAAGAGAAAGACAGTCAGTTACCTACAAGGGAGTACCCATACGACTGTCAGCTGGTTTCTCAACAGAAACCATGCAGGCCAGAAGAGAGTGGCAAGAAATATTCAAAGTGATGAATAACAAGAACCTGCAACCAAGATTACTTTATCCAGCAAAGCTATCATTCAGAATAGAAGGTCAGATAAAGAGCTTCACGGATAAGAAAAAGCTAAAGGAGTTCATCACCACCAAACCAGCATTATATGAAATGCTGAAAGGTATTCTTTAAGAAGAGGAAGAAGAAAAAGGAACTCTTACCATTTGCCACAGCATGGATGGAACTGGAGAGCGGATAAATACCACAGGATCTCACTCATTTGTGGAATATAATGAACAACATAAACTGATGAACAAGGACTGATCCAGAGACAGAGAGGCATTGATTGGACTGTCGGGACTTGGAGGGAAGGTAGGGGAGGGTGGGGGTAAGGGGGAAAGATCAACCAAAGGACTTATATGCAAGCATATAGGCCTAATCAATGGACATGGACAACGGGGGCGGTGAGGGCATGAGCGGGGGGGGGGGGGGGTAGAGGGTAACGTGGGGACAAGGACACATATGTAATATCTTAATCAATAAAAAATATATTAAAAAAAAAATAGGAGTGGGGCAAACCATCAGCAGCCATAGGACCTGCATGAAGTCAGTATCTGTGCAGGAGGATGCATAGGGAAGCAATTGGGCATTTGAGGGACTTAAGGAGAACATCAAATAGTCAGTAGGTATTTACTGGATAGTATGATGGCCAATCTGAGACGAGAACCTTGAAAATTAAAAAGGTTTATCCCAATCCAATCACAAGTGAGTGTCGGGTAAGTTCTGGAAAAGGCTGGAGCAGTATGAATCATATAAATTCTTAAAATCAACCCCCCAACCAAAGCTGCCTTCCACAACAGGACTCCACACTGAGGAAAAGCTGCTAGGTGTGGACACAAAATTGAGCAAAACAGGGACAACAGAGATAAGGGAAGAAGAGGTCCAGTAAAAGTAGAGAAGGGGCAAGAAATCACCATATTTTTTAACATTTTACAAAAAAATAAAAATACCAGAAGAGGGAGCTCTGTGCCATTAGAAAAGTTATCCTAAATCATGACCCCTTCTAAAAGTTCAGAAAAACAAAACTTCACATAAAAATAAGCAACAGAAAAATGTCAAGGTCCCATCCCATACAATTATTTTAAGAAAAAAGAGACTGAAGAGCAGAGTAACATCCCTACAGATAATGAAAGACAGACCTCGGGCACACATCAAATTATAACATACTATTTTAAAACAAGCTAAAAGGCATTTAAAAAAACAATTCAAGGCATGAAAGAAAAACATAAATCACAATTATAAAACTCCAGAAAAGGTGAAAGAACTCCAAAAAGAAATAGTAACAAAGCAAAATCACTTCAGAAATGAATACAAAATTAGAAAGGACATGAGTGCCTAAATATAACAAATAAAGCATTTATAGAAATAAACGGTAAAAAGGAGGAAATTTTTAAAAATCAAAAAGAAATTAAGAAAGTGACATCAGTAAAATGGTGGAGTAGGTAGTTCTAAACTCCCCACTCCCTTCAGAAACTTTGAAAACAAGTAAACAATGTCAGAATCAACTTTGTTAGAACTCTAGAAAAAAAAATTTTACAGAAGTCAGTGAATACTGAATCAAGAAAAGGCAACTTAAAAATGGTAAGAAATCTTTGTGGCAATACTTACCCTAGTCCCATCCCCTTTCCTAGTACAATAGAAGTCTTGAAGACATGAGCCTGCTTTCCCAGTGTGGGATCCTGATACCTGGGTCCGGAGGGAGCAAAACAGACCTAAATCTCAAATTACTGCGTCTATATGTTCTAACCTATCTGGGGGCTATCTGATGGACTGACACAGGCTCTTATCTCTGTTTAGCCTAACTTGGAACTCACCCAAGCTAAAAATTAAGTGACTGGCTAAAAAAGTGGGATTTTTATCCCCAGTGGTTCAGTATAATAAAGCCAACCAATATACCACATTAAGAGAAAAAAGGACACAAACCACATTAAGAGAAAAAAAAGACACAAACCACATTAATAGAAAAAAGGACACACACACACACACACACACAAACACACACACGATCATCGATCATCCCTGTTTATGCAAAAAAGGCCTGACAAAGTCCAATACCCTTTCATGATCAAAACTATCAAAAAGTTAGGATTAGACGGAAACTTCCTCAACATGATAAAGACCATTTATGAAAAACCCACAGGTAGTATAACAATGGTAGAAAACTGAAAGCTTTCTTCCTAAGATCAGGCACAAGATGAAGAAGCCTGCGTTCACCACTGATTTGTAATAATGTACTGGCCTTCAGCCCACGGGCTAATGCTCTATCCACTGAGCAAAACAGGCTGCAGCTTAATTCATTTACTTTTAATCTATATGTGTCTTTATATTTAAAGTGGGTTTTGTTTTTGATTCACCCTCATAATCTGTCTTTTAATTGGTGCATTTATGCCACTGACTTTCAGAGTGCTTACTGATAGAGTTACTACCATATCAGGTAGCTTCTGGGCCTTCTGGGGCAGGCCCGATGGGGTCCCGGGGCAGCAAGGCAAGCCAGCTGCTGGGGCTTCTGGGCGGGCGTGCCTTGCCGCCCGGGACCCGCTGATGGGGTCCCAGGCAGCCGGCCTTGCCTGGATGGTGGTGCGCTGGCGGTTCGCGCTGTCCCGCCCTGCCTGCAGTATGCAAATTAGCCACCATCTTTGTTGGCAGTTAATCTGCATGTCATGCTGATTAGCCAATGGGAGGTGTAGTGAAGGTATGGTCAATTACCATGCATGTCTATTATTAGATAGGATTTATTTGTTTACATAAACTTTCTAACTTCCTGACTAGCAAAACACCACTAGTTTCAGAGACTGGAATTTTTAAGTTGTGTTACTGAAAAGGAAAATATAAGATTTTATTCATATGCTATCGGAAAAAAACACAGAAAAGTGATAAAATGTTCTTGCCAAAATAAAATTTCACATGTAACTAGAAGGAACTTGTCAACACATAACCAGAGGTCTTGCAAATGTTATAAACTTGCAAGGATTTTTCCATCTCCAAGTGACATTCCAGACACATTCATTGTAAAGTAATTTTTTTTTTCTTGTGGAGTTAGCCCACCAGAGAAAGAGGAGAAAAAGTATTTCTCTCTCTCTACATAGAACAGAAATAAGAATATGAAGGACAGAAGTAGAGAAGGTAGGAAGGCAAAATTAAAAATAATTTAACCAGAACATTACAAAACACAGCTAGAGTGATTACATCCTTTTAAAATATGTAATCAAATTGTGACAATCCTTCACTAGGCTTTAGGACAAAGTAAACTAGATTTCTGAAGCTCAGCAAAATACAAAATAAATATATCATCTGAAAATTACAGTTCTGAGAGTGTTTCTATTGAAAGCCTACACCAAATTCTAATTTATAGGAGATTAACCTATTTGCCACATTTCAAAACTGATGCATTGGCAAGCAAATTCTAATTATTTTTTTCCTGTAATGGGTGTGTTAATCACAGCAAGATGCATTCAACTTTTTCTTTGAGCCTCCTACTTAGGTACTGGTATTAAAGAATAGATACTGCCGAAACCGGTTTGGCTCAGTGGATAGATAGAGCATCGGCCTGCAGACTGAAAGGTCCCAGGTTCGATTTCGGCCAAGGGCAGGTACCTGGGTTGCAGGCACATCCCCAGGAGGAGATGTGCAGGAGGCGGCTCATTGATGTTTCTCTCTCATCGATGTTTCTAACTCTCTATCTCCCTTCCTCTCTGTAAAATAAAAAAAAAAATCAATAAAATATATTAAAAAAAATAAAGAATAGATACTGATTCCAAACTCAATCTTTTTAACCCCAAGTGGTCTCTAATAACCTCTCAAAAATTGAACTCCAATATTTAAAATAAGTATGTATTTATTAAAATGCCATATATTACAGCATATTATGTAGAACAAGGGAATACTATGATATTTTAAATACACAATACTGACTATATTTTATAGGTCACTATTTTAATCACAAAATGTTAGCTTAAACCATCCTGAGATCAGCTGAAACAACAAAATAACTGCACTACCACTCTTTATCTCTGATAGTTAAAAAAAACCTCACCCATAGAAAAATAGCTTTGTTTGCCACAAAAGGAAATCATTGTGATCACATTTGTGGGAAATATAGAACAAGGTCACTATAGGCTTACATATTGTTTAATAAAGAACACAACGGGCTTGATCTAAGGACAGTTGATATTGATTTGTATAGTCCCTAAGAGTTAGAGGAGAGGGAGAAACTTTAAAAATGTTTTCTATTAAAGACTGGCAAAACATAGGAATCTAGATCTTATATAAGGAGAAAAAATTGCCCACACATAAAACAATTTGGCAAACAAATTCAATGGAAATGTTAAAAGATGCAAATAGTACATCTGTCTAAAACACCTTGGTCTTTACTCATATCTCTCTATTGTTAGTGATAATAAGTCTTCGAGAGAGTTATCTCCTAAAGGCTTTGACAATTCACAAATCCATAGGTGAGTTCTTTAGAAATCATAATTTTACTTTAAGAGAAAAGGAAACAAAGTCACTAACTCAGGACCATAAGTGCGTAAGTAGAAATAATAAAAATGCAAACAAACCCCTTAAAGGGTTCAGTATAGTGCAGAAGCTCCCATTTTTCTGCCACCACAGGATTAAGAAGTTCAAGCGGGAGGGAGGAGACAAGCAGGGATGGGGGTTTGCAGAGTGGAGGGGGTCAATGGGGGGAGGGGGAACATCTGTAATACTTTCAACAATAAAGATAAATTTAAAAAAATAAAAAAGATGTTCAAACACAGTTTACTCTCACTACCCCTCATAACATCCACTACTTCTCAGGATGGATAGGTAATGTCCCCAGTTATGAGTCAGCAATTCTTTTCTTTAATTTTGAACTTAAATTTAATAGTAGAAAGTATCACATTCATAGGGTGGGGGATAGGTAGAAAAATATAAACTGGCTAGTTGATTTTTTAGAGAGAGAGAGAAAAGGAGAGGGAGAGAAACATCAATATGAAAGCATAACATTGATCGGCTGCCTCCTGCATCTCCCCTATCAAGCCTACAACCCAGACATGTGCCCTGACTAGGAATCGAACCTGCAACCTTTTGGTGCATGGGACCATGCCCAACCAACTGAGCCACAATGACCAGGGCTAGTTTCCTTCTTGTATAATGCTGTACAAACGATCCTATGAAGTTAGAAAGTGTTTTGAAATTACAAATCCATTTTCATATACTTCAATCTCATTTAATTATTATAAAGACCCTATATGTTTGATTAAATGGAATATTTCAATCCTTATTTATAACATTTCAAATTCTACCTCCATTTATGGCTTAAACACAAGGCCTTAAACATTTTTCCCTAGAAAACTTTGAGGGCCAAAGTGAAGTTTTCTTTTAAAAAGATCATTGGTTTATTTCACTACCATGAAAGGAAATATTAAGTATATTCAGAATCCAGCCACACAGAAAATTTAACAGCAAAGCAAAGTCAATTAAGAAGAGTTCATTGCTCAACAGTGTCAAGAGGATACCAGAGCATTTACAATAATCACACATTTTTGAGTGCTTAGTATGTGCTTGGATAAGCGACTCTGCATGTACACTTTCAAATAATCTTTACAAAAATTTTATGAGGTAGATGATTTATTATCCCTATACTACAAATAAAGAAATGAGGACTAAAAGAGGCTAAGTTGCCAAAGGAGATCCCAAAGTTAGTAATGGGGAGAAATGTACATTTTAATCTTTTTTATCTCAACCATTCTGCTATACTACTTATGCTTGTCTGGCAATTTCTTTTCCACTATCTCTAATGCATCCCAACCACCCTGTAAAATAGAATTTTGTTCATTTAATAGATGAGTAAATCGAGGATGACACACAAGTCAAGTGGCCTATCAATAGTAACAATGGAGAAAAAAATAAAACCAGCCATCAGGCCTTATGCTACCAAATCATCAGAAAAGGTACTTTTAAAATTTCTTTTAAAAATGCATTCACTGTCTGCTTCCACCTACTTGACACACAATCCCAATAAATTTGAGTTTCCTAATTTCTGTGCCCATGGAAGATGAAAGGAAAGAAGCATTTGCTTATGCCAGGCACTTTACATACATTACCTCACGCGAACTTCTGAACACTAAGATATAAACAGTATCCCACACAGACAGGGTTAGGATTTAAACCATAAACCAAAAGATTATACAGAACGTAATAATAGCCAACAAGGCCTATTGGACTCCTGATGACTATGGCAAATTCCTTGAAGATCAGGATCAATGATATTCCTAGACCTTATTAACAAAATGCCTGTTAATAAGCATTTAAGTGTTTTAAATAAATAATTCATGAATGTAACATTTACAACCCAGACCCATTGTTTACCCACCATTTCTTGAGCACCTCTAGACAGGAATTCAGCAATCAGCCACATTCCAATAATAGAAAGAACATGTGATTATAAGAAGCCACTTACAGCAAATGCAAAACAACAGTAACAACAAATACTACCAGTAATACAAGTAGTTTCCACGACCCTCTAGACTAGAGCATCTCACCTAATATGTCACCAATTCCTATGAATTCTGACTCAGAACAATCTCTCAATTCCCTACTGCCTTTCCCTTTCCATTTCTTTTTTATAAAATATTATTTTTATTGATTTCAGAGAGAAAGGGAGAGGGAGAGAGAGAAAGAGAGAGATAGAAACATCAATGATA